ACGAAATTAAGAGAGGCAAACCTATAGAGCTTCTACCAGGAAGACAAATGGAAACAAGGATAGGCCCTTATGATCTACCACATCCTTGCGAAAGAAAACAACGTAATTTCAATCACATAAATAGCCAGAAGGATATTGACGAGATAAAAAACGATTGGGTTAGAATCTTTACCGACGGAAGCAACATCGACGCAAAAGTGGGCGCAGCAGTAACAATATGGCACAATGGATACGAAATTAAAACAATAACTTTTAGATTGGAAAGCTACTGCAGTGTTTACCAAGTGGAGATGATGGCAATACATAGAGCGCTAAAACACATAATAAGCAAAAATTATTCAGGTGCAAATATATTCAGCGACTCAAGATCGGCAATCACAACCATCTGTGACCCAGCTTCCCTTAATCCAATAGCTTCAGAAATACGGAAAATAATCAAAACTTTAGAAGACAACCAAAAGCAAGTATTGCTTTATTGGATAAAAGCACATTGTGGAATACAAGGCAACGAAAGAGCAGATGAACTTGCTAAGCAAGCAGCTACAAAAAATAAGCAAAGCTCGGCTTATGACAAATTTCCATTGTCATATGCAAAGCGCCTCACCAGAAGCTCAACTCTGCAAACATGGCAACGGAAGTACGAACAGGCGACGACCAGCAGTATAACGAAGATGTTCTTTCCAAATATTGTTATAGCATATAAGATATTAAAAACCATAAAAATGAACAACTTAGTTACACATTTATTTACCGGTCATGGTGGAAACAAAGCCTATTTGTATAAATATAAATTGTCGCCATCCCCATGCTGCATATGTGATGAAAAAACAGAGCAAACTGTAGAGCACGTTGTAATAGACTGCCCACGTTTTGGGAAAGGAAGATACGAAACCGAGTGCAGCATGGGAATGTCGATAACACCAGAAAATCTAAAATGTATTATAGAAGATGATTATTGCCGACCTATTTTTATGAAGTTTGCCCTTATGGCATTAAAAATCATTAGCAAAGAAAATGGCAGCAAAATAACAGACTAATGTATTTAATAACTTATAGATAATAAAGCAGATAACAATTTACAAATGTATGAAATAAAAATAAAAAAGGTTAATTTAAAGTAAAAGGAATGTAGTATGGAACAAGTACAAATAACATTTAAATTAATATCTAGCTTAAACAAAAACAAGTATAATATGCAATGTAATAAATAAATAAATAAATATATGTTATAAATATTAAATACTATGATAAGCAACAATTCGTAAATAGCATAGCATTGTGGTCATGTAGACATAACAAGCTCTAAATAATATATGTTATAATACCTATATATATAAAAAAATATTTTTATAATATATAGTATATATTTAAAAAAAAAACAAGTATGTTATATAAAGCAACAATAAGTAATATAAGCAACCAAATTGTAGCTACAATAGCGTTATAATAATAAAGAAGTAAGTTAAAAGGAATATTATACGTTATTATAGAGTTGTAACAAATAACAATAATGAAAATGAATAAGCAGCCATTATTAGAATAAGACCGCATGAACTTGTAGTAATTAAGATATTGTAATTAAACGTAAACATGCATAAAAAAAACAGAATGAGGCAGTACGGGAAAAAAAACATATAAAGATGTACATATATCAAAAAAAAAAAAAGAGGAGTAAATTGTATAGAGTTATCATTAACAGAAATAAAGGTACTGCAGAAAAGTAGTAGTGCTTGGTGGCCAGCAATTAGATGTCGGTTAGCTGAGGAAAGTTGCCCCATAAACATCAGAAAATTGATCGACAGCTGTCTTCAGGACAGAATAGTTAGAGTGAGGTATGCAGGTGTGGAGCATACGCAAGCAACAACAAAGGGGTGCATACAGGGATCCATAGGTGGACCGGTTCTGTGGAACTTGCTTATCGACCCTTTGCTAAAGGAACTGGAGAAAGGGGGTAACCGGTGCCAAGCATTTGCCGATGATATCGTCCTGTTATTTGCGGGTGACACAGCTCTTGAGATTCAAAGACGTGCGAATGCCGCTCTTGAACATGTTCGGGGGTGGGGAAATCGAAACAAACTCAAATTCGCGCCACATAAGACTAAGGCTATGGTTATAACCAACAAATTGAAATACGATTCTCCACGTCTCGTGATGGGCGGGATAGGCATTGGCATGTCGGAGGAGATTAAGGTGCTTGGTGTCACCATAGACAGAAAACTCACCTTCAACACCCACGTGAGGAATGTGTGCAGGAAGGCAACAGCAGGTCAGGTCAGGTCAGGTCAGGTCAGGTCAGGTCAGGTCAGGTCAGGTCAGGTCAGGTCAGGTCAGGTCAGGTCAGGTCGGGTCAGGTCAGGTCGGGTCAGGTCAGGTCGGGTCAGGTTGGGTCGGGTCGGGTCGGGTCGGGTCGGGTCGGGTCGGGTCGGGTCGGGTCGGGTCGGGTCGGGCCGGTTCGGGTCGGGTCGGGTCGGCGGTCGGGTCGGGTCGGGTCGGGTCGGGTCGGGTCGGGTCGGGTCGGGTCGGGTCGGGTCGGGTCGGGTCGGGTCGGGTCGGGTCGGGTCGGGTCGGGTCGGGTCGGGACAGGTCAGGTCAGGTCAGGTCAGGTCAGGTCAGGTCAGGTCAGGTCAGGTCAGGTCAGGTCAGGTCAGGTCAGGTCAGGTCAGGTCAGGTCAGGTCAGGTCAGGTCAGGTCAGGTCAGGTCAGGTCAGGTCAGGTCAGGTCAGGTCAGGTCAGGTCAGGTCAGGTCAGGTCAGGTCAGGTCAGGTCAGGTCAGGTCAGGTCAGGTCAGGTCAGGTCAGGTCAGGTCAGGTCAGGTCAGGTCAGGTCAGGTCAGGTCAGGTCAGGTCAGGTCAGGTCAGGTCAGGTCAGGTCAGGTCAGGTCAGGTCAGGTCAGGTCAGGTCAGGTCAGGTCAGGTCAGGTCAGGTCAGGTCAGGTTAGGTTAGGTTAGGTTAGGTTAGGTTCCCCCCCCGAACGGGTTCCCGCCTTGTCGTGGCGGGGGGCTTAGTAGCCGTGGCTTGGTCTCCCACGGTGAACAAAGATGAACCCACGTGGCTGGCCCGAGGTGAAGGGCCGGCCTGAGGTGGCCGCTCCGGAGTGGGCTTGGGGAGCCCACTTCGGATGTGTGCTGGTGGACTGCAGCGAGTGGGGACTCGCGCACCCTCTACCGCTGCAGCCGAGGTGGAGTCGCGGAGGAAGAGGAGTGTTGGTATGGCGATGCGCCACTCGCCCTATCCTTCGCGACTCAAACGGGGCCGCACCGTTGATGCGGTGGTGGTGGGGCTGCGGGGGGAGAGGATTGTCGGTATTGCGAGGTGCCGCTCTCCCTACCCTCCGCAGCCGAATCTTGGTTGGCGGCGGAGCCATAGACCAGATCCGCCGATGGGGTCGGGAAGGCTAGTACTTCTAAGTGCTCGTTTTTCCTGGCCCCATGGCCTTTGTGCATCGGACGCGGGGGCGTCTGTTGCACAGACGTAGTTGGAGGCCGTGGAGGAAGGCGCGCCATGTGTTCTGGTGCGCCTTACCTGGGAAGGAGAACGGGGAGGAATTTTCCTCTCCCGAGGAAGTGCTGCCATGGGGCGGCAGGCGCTAGTAGGGCCGCGGATGTGTGCGAAAGCGTTCCCGTAGCCCTGCCAATATGCGACAAAGGTGGAACACCGTGGGGTTTTAGTCGGTGCGAGTCCGACATAACCCGTCCTTGCCCCCGCGAGGCGGGTATGCGTAGGCATTTCCCCATGCAAAAAAAAAAAAAAAAGGTTAGGTTAGGTTAGGTAAGGTTAGGGTTAGGTTAGGTTAGGTTAGGTTAGGTTAGGGTTAGGTTCCCCCCCCGAACGGGTTCCCGCCTTGTCGTGGCGGGGGCTTAGAAGCCGTGGCTTGGTCACCCACGGCGAAACAAAGAGGAACCCATATGGCTGGTCCGAGGCGGAGGGCCGGCCCGAGGTGGCCACTCCGAGTGGGCTTGGGAAGCCCACTTAGGATGTGTGTTGGTGGACTGCGGTGAGAGGTGTGTCCTCCCCACCTACCGCTGCAGCCGAGGTGGAGTCGCGGAGGAAGAGGAGTGTTGGTATGGCGATGCGCCACTCGCCCTATCCTCCGCGACTCAAACGGGGTCGCACCGTTGATGCGGTGGTGGTGGGGCTGCGGGGGGAGAGGATTGTCGGTATTGCGAGGCGCCACTCTCCCTACCCTCCGCAGCCGAATCTTGGTTGGCGGCGGAGCCATAGACCAGATCCGCCGCTGGGGTCGGGAAGGCTAGTACTTCTAAGTGCTTGTTTTCCTGGCCCCATGGCCTTCTTGCATTGGACGCGGGGGCGTCCGTTGCGCAAATGTGATTAGAGGCCGAGAAGGTCACGCGCCATGTGTTCTGGTGCGCCTTACCTGTGAAGGAGAACGGGGAGGAGTATTCCGCTCCCGAGGAGGTGCTGCCATAGGGCGGCAGGCGCTGGTGGGGCTGCGGATGTGTGCGAAAGTGTTCCCGTGGCCCTGCCAATAAGCGACAAAGGTGGAACACCATGGGGTTTTAGTCGGTGCGAGTCCAACATAACCCGTCCTTGCCCCCGCGAGGCGGGTATGCGTAGGCATTTCCCCATGTAAAAAAAAAAAAAAAAAAAAAGGTTAGGTTAGGTTAGGTTAGGTTAGGTTAGGTTAGGTTAGGTTAGGTTTTTTTTTTTTTTTTTTTTGTTTGCTTTGCTGCTTCCCTCTGACATGGGGGTCAGAGACATTGTCAGCTCGACACGGACTTTGAATTCTTATTTTTATTGTTTTTGTCCTTGATATTATAATGGGTGTAGAGGACTCCGGGTTTTCATTCGGGAGTCCTACTACTCTTACTCTAATGCATACAATGTTACACTTAATTTCAAAGTCTTTTCTTTTTACATCTTTTGTCACTTTAATCTCAATTTAATTGTTATTAATTTTAATCACATTTTATTCGGTGCATTCTCTCTGTCTATACGAGGTATAGGCACAAGGAAGCACCGATGTTATATGCAAGGCTTTCTTACATCACTAATGAAAGTACCTAACATAATTATTAATTGTTTTATAGAATTAGTTCCAATTTAATATTTCCAATAATCTAATTTCTTTCAATACAGTGCTTATATTTAACCATTTATGTTTTGACCTTGATTCCTTTTTATGACTCTCTTAGCAATACCCTCACAATATCCTATAAATTTTTTCCTTGTATTTTTCTGCATCAACAATAGCCAAAGGTTGCCGATTTCCAGTTTAACACCAAATGCTGTTTCAAACTCCTGTCTCTCTTTACCATAAATGGGACACTTGAGAATTACATGCAGCACTGTTTCCTCAACTCCTGGTTCACAGATACATGATGAGTTCTCCTTACACTTGAATCGGTATAAGTATTCGGAGAATCCACCATGCCCGGTCATGACCTGTGTCATTGTAGGAGACAGTGCTGTTTCCCTAACCAACTTATATGCATTTATAGCATTTGGGAGAAAGACCTTTGTTACTTTACCCGTATCGCCTTCTATATATTTCTGATTCCACTTTTTTAAGGTTTCCAGTCGGATAAGTCTTTTTACGAATGACACTGGACACTGGTCATATTCTGGTTTTCTTTTTATTTGCAACGCCGCTTGTTTCGCTAGCTCGTCGGCCCGTTCATTTCCCGTCAGACCCGCATGGGCTTTTATCCAGAACAATTGGATACTTTTTTGTTGCTGGAATATGGACTGTATATTTCTGCGAGTCTTTACTGCGAGGGGATGATTGGTGTCTTGGTTGACAATGGTCTCGAGTGCTGCTCTCGAGTCACTGTAAACCCCAAAACTTTTTTCGTTGCTACTGAGAATTCGCTCAGTTGCCCTTAATATGGCCAGTAGTTCCGCCTGGTAAACGGTGCAGTAGTTTGATAATTTGAGCTTTAGAGTTCTTGTCTCAGCTTCATTATTCCAAAAGGATAATGCTGCTCCAACCTTTCCCTCTATTTTGCTCCCATCAGTAAATATTCGGAGACTCTGGGTGTTATTGAGTCTCATTTCGCACTCGTTCTCCAGGCATATGAACTCCAGGTCCATACTATGGGATGCTGGGTGGGGCAATTCCGAGAAGCTCGCCTTCGTCTCCACCTCTCGGCCCCCTATCATTGACTGGAGTTTACCTCTCTTTGCCTCAAAAAGAAGGGCTGCTTCTTGGACCCTCAGGTCTAGAGGAAGCAAGCCTGCCAATGTTAGTGCCGAGTGCAAGGAGACAGTACGGTAAGCTTTACAAATTTTTTGAGCGAATCCTCGTTGCACAGCATTTAGCTGCTTTTTTATTACCAACTTGCTAGCCTCTTGCGCCCATACGCTAGCCGCGTACAATACCACCGGCTCAACAACCGCCGTGTACATCGTCCTGATGATCTCTGGTTGTAAGCCCCAGCTTATTTTTGCAGCTCTTGATAGTTGTCCATAAATTGCTGTTGCCTTCCTGCACACATTCCTCACGTGGGTGTTGAAGGTGAGTTTTCTGTCTATGGTGACACCAAGCACCTTAATCTCCTCCGACATGCCAATGCCTATCCCGCCCATCACGAGACGTGGAGAATCGTATTTCAATTTGTTGGTTATAACCATAGCCTTAGTCTTATGTGGCGCGAATTTGAGTTTGTTTCGATTTCCCCACCCCCGAACATGTTCAAGAGCGGCATTCGCACGTCTTTGAATCTCAAGAGCTGTGTCACCCGCAAATAACAGGACGATATCATCGGCAAATGCTTGGCACCGGTTACCCCCCTTTCTCCAGTTCCTTTAGCAAAGGGTCGATAAGCAAGTTCCACAGAACCGGTCCACCTATGGATCCCTGTACGCACCCCTTTGTTGTTGCTTGCGTATGCTCCACACCTGCATACCTCACTCTAACTATTCTGTCCTGAAGATAGCTGTCGATCAATTTTCTGATGTTTATGGGGCAACTTTCCTCAGCTAACCGACATCTAATTGCTGGCCACCAAGCACTATCAAATGCTCCCTCTATGTCAAGTGATATCATGGTTACTATCTTTTTGTTTCTTAACTGTGTACGTATGTATTCCATTATGTCATAGAGGGAGTCTTCGGTGCTTTTCTGTGGTGTGAAGCCGTATTGGCGAGTACTAAGCCCTGGTTGTATGTGCCATCTTATTCTTCTAATAACCATCTTCTCCAGGACTTTTCCCATAACTGGTAGCAAACCTATAGGTCTATAGGCCTTCGGGTGCGTATAGTCTTCCTTTGCCGGCTTTCGCAGGACCACAATTACTGCTTCCTTCCATATAGTAGGGAAGTGTCCCAATTCGAGGCATTTATTCGCAAGGCTCAAGTAGATATCTGGCTTATGAGAAATCACCTCTCGGCAGATGTCAGACGTGAGGCCGTCCCCTCCCGGAGCCTTTTTTGGTTTGAAGCTGTTTATAGCGTACTTTAGTTCAGAGAGAGTGAATGGTGGATCACGGGCGTTTTCGTGCGTTCCTGCATTCACTCCTTCAGCTATTGCTCTTATACGCTGGTGTTCTGCGTCGTCAGCTTCAGCCAAGTCCTCCGGGTAAAAGGTTTCGGCTAGCGTTCTAGCTGATTCTAGCTTGTCTAATATTTTTCCGTCTTTTATGAGTGGCAGGTCTTCGTGCCGTTTTGCTGTTCTACCGATTACCCGATATATCCCATCCCATAAGCTTTCTTTGTCCTGTTTTCCACAGAACTCCTTCCAGCTTTTGACTTGAGCAATTTTTGCTTCAGATTCATATTTTTCTTTGGCTTCTAGGTATTCCTTGACAACAGCAGCCCGTCTCACTGCAGCAGCACATCTTATACGGCGTTTTTTAGTAATGACATTTTTCTTTAGCGCGACAAGATTTTCGCTCCACCACGGCAGGATAAGTTTATTTTTATTTTTGATTTTTGGGATTGTATTCTCGCATGTTTCTTTAATTATTTCTGTATATTTTCCTACATTATATTCTAGATTTTCCTTGTTATTTATATTATTTATTTCTGATATTTCTAAGTATTTATCTGTAAGCAATTGATTCAGTTTCTCACGAAACTGGATCCAATTTGCTTTTTTACTATTATATATCCGTGTAACTCTTTCTATTTTATGCCCCAATGTTTGTCCATGATTAATTTTAAATTTAATTGTGTTGTGGTCAGAGCTTGTCACACCATCATCAATCTTCCAATCCTCCATCAAATTTAATAGATCTTCCGAACACACTGTAATATCAACGTGACTCTGATAGATTTTGCCACCTCTCACCGTATTGAAAGTAGGGGTTTCGCCATTATTCAGTATGTGAAGACCTAGCTGGTTTAGAGTACCTACAAGCGTTTCACCTCGACTATCCTCCCTTACACTGCCCCACCAAGGACTCCATGCATTTGCATCACCCCCTATCAATAATTTCCTTTTACCTAGTTTTGCGACTATCTTCTTTAATTGGTCCATATATAGTTCGATGGGTACATCTGGCTCTAGATATAATGAGACTACACCCATTTCCCAGGCATTTGTTTTAATAATGACCACGACTATGTTATTGTTGGTGAGAGTCGGACACTGGGTAATGTCGATTTTATTATCAAGGACAGCAATTGCCGCCTTTACCACTCCTTCTGTCTGGGCACTTTGAAATACGCGCGCTCCGCGATAGTCCTTCATATATCCGACTCCCCCTACATATGGTTCCTGGATCAGGGCCAAACCAATCCCTCCCTTACTTGCTTCGAACATTAACTCGCTCGTTGCGAGCTTCTTTCTCTGGAGATTTGCTTGTACTACTAGAATAGGTTTTTCCCCCGCACCAACTCGTCCTTCTAACTCTCTGCATTTGTTTTTCAGTTCAACTTTAGCAATAAGCCACGCTTGTTCTGGCTATTGAGTCCCATTTTCTGCGTACCGGACACTCACTGTCGAAAGTGTTGTGGTCCTGGCGATCCATCTTTGCCCTTACACAGTTAATGCAGGAGGGCACTTTCCCAGCCTGGAAGGCGGGACAAGAGGCCTTCTGATGTGGGCCTCCACAGTGGGAGCATTTTTCATCTGATTCTTTACAGTACCTTTTACTGTGCCCGTAAGCGAGACATCTGGAGCATTGCATTAATGGTGATTGATCCGCCACTACCACGCGTTGCAAGTCCACATGGACTCTTCCCGCCTCTGTCAGCCGTTTCCATACTAGTGGGGAGACCTGGAGGACCACATGATTAGTGTGTGGGTTCCTTGTCTTTTTACGATAACGCACTGATAATTTCACTTCTTCGCTTTCCAAGGTTTCGATCAGGTTCTTATTTTGACACCTTATAGCAGCAATTATGTCATCATCGGTGTTAATCGTTAGTACGTCCCTCAATATGACAAGTGGATCTTTATTTTTTGCCTGTTCAACTGACAGCCCCGAATCACCGGCTTTGATTCGGTTTGCTACCTTGTCCATTTCTTCCCTGGTACTACAACCTACTATCACTTTTTGGTCTTTAGCTTTCCTCAATTTTTCTACCCTTAGCCCACTTTGTTTTGCATTAACAGCCACTCTAATCTTTTCGATAACATCGCCACTTGTATCATTTTCATTTCCTGATCTTACTATAACTGAGTGCATTTGAGCAGAAACTGTGTCCCTAAAGTGAGCTGCGTTTGGATCCAGAGGCTGCCCTCTATTCCGTTTTGCAACTACACTTGAATAGGTGATAAGTTCATCCCTATGACTTTTCACTTCTTCACTTATGCGTTGAGTCTCTATCCTGCACTCTGTGAGTAGTTTACTATGTTCTTCCATTTTCTTTAGTAGCTCGAACTCAATATCCTGTTTTCTTACCAATTTTGTTGTATCGTTTTCTATCGTATTTTCCTTTACTTCTTCAGCTCCCTTGGTCAATCTGTAAAGTTTTTCTGCAGCTTCTGCAATTTTATCTTTGATTTCAGTCTTCAAATTTCGTGAGCTATTTAGTAATAATTTTATTTTGACTACGTGTGCCTTAGCCTCTTGTGCTTTATTTAAATATTTAGTTGTTTCGATTTCCTCTTGATTTACATCACACTCTACGGCAGGAGAAATTTTCGATTTATGTTTGGTCGGCAAATCAGCTGTCTTGGTTTTTGGTGCAGCACCAAGACGCGATTCAAGCTCGCCTACACTTTTCCTTACGTGTGATGTTGTTCCCTTGTCTTTTCCCGCCGAGGTTTCTGATTTTTTGGTATCCGTATTTGGGTCCAGTTTAGAAGCTACAGAATTATTCTGCGGAGGAGTTTTAAACATTTTTAATTTATTTTTGAGGGCTTGTCAATTGAGTCAAAAAATGGTCAGAATTTACTATGTGCACTATAAAACGTAAAAATTTCTCTATGTAGAGTTTAGCTCTATCTTCGTTTATTTATCAAGTCACACTTAAAATAATAATATAATAAAGTATGTTAAATAGTCTCTAAATTCTTTCAAAATTCCAAAATTTTTAAACTTTTATTTGCTCTACCTGGAGCCGTTTCTATTTCCAGTCTTATTCCATATATTATTCTATAAATGGTCAAAAAAAAATTATATGCGCCCAATAAGACGTAAAATTTTCTCTATGTAGAGTTTAACTCTACCTTCGTATTTTTATCAAGTCACACTTAAAATAAAATTTCTATTTGCTCTACCTAGAGCCGTTTTTATTTCTAGTCTTATTCTATATATTTTGCTATAAATGGTCAATAATTAATATCCGCCCAATAAGACGTAAAAATTTTCTATGTAGAGTTTAACTCTACCTTCGTATTTTTATCAAGTCACACTTCAATATTAATTTAATAAATATGTTAATTAATTTCTAAATAATTTTAAAACTCCAAAAATATAAAATTTTTATTTGCTCTACCTAGAGCCGTTTTTATTTCTAGTCTTATTCTATATTTTATACATTAAACTACAAGAAATTTGTAACCTATTTTAATAATCTTATTTTAATAATCTTAGACTCTATGTACTCGTAGAGTCAGTCTCTATATCCAATCATTAATGTCTGGTACATCAAAGTAAAAATAAAATAAAATCTAAAAATCTTTCGATCTCTTAGACTCTACATAGAGTCAACTCTATTGCTATATTTAACTATATGTGATCGTTACTCTTAGGCTTGTAACTTTTATTCTGATTTAGTCTTTATTTAATTAATCAGTATCTAATTTTTAAAATAAAATAAAATAAAATAAAATATTTTAACACTCTATGTAGAGTCGGTCTATGTATAGGCTGAAAGGTTTGTAGATATAATTGGTTAGGTTAGGTTAGGTTAGGTTAGGTTAGGTTAGGTTAGGTTAGGTTAGGTTAGGTTAGGTTTTTTTTTTTTTTTTTTTTTAATACTATTTTACTACTGCTATTCTGCAGTACCTTTCTTTCTGTTGAAGATAATCCTTTTTTTACTGTTATCAATGGTTTTTTTTTTAAATACTTAATTACTAATATACAATTACATGTTCTTTTTACAGTTATCATAATATTATCTTCTATAATTAATCTAATTTTATAACAATTCTGAATATAGTTCTATGTATAGGTATACTGTTTCAGACTTTATAATGTTATTACTTTGTATCTTTTAATTTGTCTCTTATGAACAATTCCTAATTTTACAATAATGTCACCTTAAATAAATAATGTACTTTTGTTTTGGGCCTAATTTTAATAATATTCTTAATTCTTAACATGAGGCTTTGTTTAAACTAACTTGCAATTATTTTTAAGCATAGTGTTCCGGTTATAATGGTTATTGCTTTGTTACTTTGTACAGTTTATCTACACTTATTTATCCTATTTAATAACAATTGTTAAGATAATCTGTTTTAGCTTACTTTTAAACATTCTACTACTTGCAAGTTATTATTAGCCTAACGTTATCAAAATGTATGCTTATATCATATTATTATTAGTTCATTATTATTACTTTAGTTAAATTCACATTCATAATGGTTTTATTGTAGGGACTTTACAGAGACATAAATTTATTCTACTATAGTGCTCCCATTCTCTTTGTTAATAACCTTAAGTATTGAGAGAGCAAAGTGTATGAAGTGAGATCTGCAATCGATGTCCGTCATAATAGTACTTAAGTTCTTACATACTATATTCACTCCCATATTGCATTCACACTCATACCGTTGTTTTCCAAATCGCGGACATTCTGTAATTAAATGTTCTATGGTTTGTTCTGTACTATCATCGCATGTGCAATATGGGGATGGCAAAATCTTAAATCTAAAAAAGATAAGCTTTATTACCACCGTGACCGGTAAACAATTGAGTTACAATATTAGTTATTTTTATACTTTTTAAAATCTTATAAGCAGTTATAACATTTGGGAAGAAAGTTCTTATGGTTCCACTGGTTGCTGCCTCTTCATATTTGATTTGCCATCTTAGCAGAGTGCTGCTCCTGGTGAGGTGCTTGGCGTAAGACAATGGGAATAAGTCATAAATTGCCCTCTGTTTTTTGCTAGTAGCGGCATATTTAGCCAGCTCATCTGCTCTCTCATTACCTACTAAGCCACAATGAGCTTTTATCCAGTATATCTGGACTTTTCCCTCTTTATTTTCGATAGTATTGAGCTTCGATGAAATTTCAGCTGCAATAGGATTAAGTGACGTAGGATTACAAAGAGTTATTACTGCTGATCTAGAGTCACTAAGGATGTTGGCTTTAAGGTTTTTCTTTTCTAACATATATGTAACTGCCTTCAAAATTGCAATTAGCTCGGCTTGGTATACGCTGCAGTAGCTTTCGAGCCTACAGGTGATGGTTTTGGTTTCCGTTCCATTTTGCCATACTGAAACAGCCGCACCTACCTTATTGTCTATTTTACTGCCGTCTGTATAAAGCTTTGGCCAGTCATTGTCAATTTGATCGATGTCTTCTTGGCAGGTTATTAACTTGTACTCCCTCTTGGTTCTTAGTGAGGGGGTGTGGTAAGTGGAAAGGACTGATTCTCATTTCCAATTGTCTCCCAGGGAGTGACTCAATGGGCTTGCCTCTTTTGATTTCGTACAATTCGGCGTTTTCCTTGGCTCGTAGCGCTAGAGGTATAATCTGAACTAGTAGCGCACTGGAAACAAGGGAAATGGTTTTATGGCCTTTGCAAATACGAATGCTAAACATTCGTGTAAGCCTATTGAGCATTCGGCTTATGTATTTTTTATTTGTGGCTTCTGCCCAGCAGCTCGCAGCATACAAAATAGTTGGTTCAACTACAGCCTGGTAGATGGTTCTTACTATGTCCGAGTTGAGACCCCATTGCGCTCTTGCTGCTCTTGATACCATTTTGTAGAGTCGAACTGCTTTACTGCAAACATAATCTAAATGTGGCTTAAAGTTAAAGTTTTTATCAATAATTAATCCTAAAATTTTGATTTGATCTATATACGTTAAGGTTACACCATCCATTAGCAGTTTGGGACAATGGAATTTATGCTTTTTGGTAATTATTGTACTTTGAGTCTTATGTGGGGCAAATTTAAGCTTGTGTCTTTGTCCCCACTCTACTATTGTTTTAAGTGTATCATTAACATCCTTTTCAAGTTTTTGGCCATCTTTGTTCGAGGCTATTATTAAGATGTCGTCCGCAAAGGCTTGAAAGTGAGCTCCCGCGTTTTCCGTTGCCTGTAATAGGGGATCAAGTTGGATATTCCACAGCATGGTACCGCAAGTTGATCCTTGAATACATTCTTTATTGGTTTTTATAGTGATCTTTTCGTTTGCGTAACTTAAGTTTATTTCACGATCTGATAAGTAGCTAATTATGAGTCTTAACACCATAGGTTCAACCTGTTTGTTTTTAAGTTCAGTGATAATAGCAGGCCACCATGCATTATCGAATGCGCCCTCAATATCTAATGACACTATTATGACTATTTCTTTCTTCTTAAGTCCATTCTTAATTAGTGTAATAGTATCATATAGCGCATCCTCCGTGCTTCTCTGTGGAGTGAATCCATATTGTCTCTGGTTCAATTTTTTCGTCTTTTCCTAACTGCCACTGGATTCTATTCGTAAAAAGTTTTTCCAGTATTTTACCCAGTACTGGTAGCAAGCCAATGGGTCTGTATGCCTTTGGATTGGTATAATCTTCTTTACTGGGTTTTGGGATTACTTTAATAGTTGCCTTTTTCCAATCTTTGGGGAAATATCCCAGTTCGAGGCACTTATTGTAGAGTAGTTCCAGCACTTCTGGGTTACTATTATAAGCTGTTTGGCATATATCGGATGTCAGGCCATCCTCACCCGGGGCTTTTTTAGGACTCATGTTGCTTAGTATTTGATCTATTTCAGTTCTAGCGAATGGTGTCTTAACTTCTAATGCTTTGTTTTCGAGTTGTGCTATAAGTTCATTTGTTTTTGTTCTTATGTCATCCTGTTCCTTAGTATCGGTGTTTGGATTATCTTTGGGGTAAAAGGTTTCAGCTAGAAGTGCTGCTGACCCTTTTTCTGAAAGGATTGTCCCATTTTGGTCTTTGAGCAGTTTGTCTCCCTCCACATTAGAACAGACCTTCAATATCCGATATGTGCGTTGCCACACGTTTTCTTTCTGCTCGTTCGTGCATAGTTCTTTCCAGCTTTTGGTTGTGGCGTCTTCTATACTTTCCTTATATTGTTTTCGTGCTTCGAGATATTGTTCTATGACCCAGTTCTTTCTTGTAGGGTGTGCATTCCTTATTCTTCTTCGTAATCTGATCATGATCTCCTTTTTTTCTTTAATTTCGGTGTTCCACCATTTAGCGGCTTTTGGTAACTGTTTTCGTTCTATTTTCGGAATCGTCTCATCGCATGCCTTTGTTATGCATTCTGTATATGTTTTTACGAATTCATCAATCTCCTGTGTCGTCCTAATAACTCCTATTCTTTCTTTGGTTAGGCCGTTGTTGTCTAGTGCCCTCTTGAGTTCAACGTTGAAATGGCTCCAGTTTGCTTTCCTTGTGTTGTATTTCCTGGTGCTGTTGATTTTTGACTCAATAAATGAAGTTGTCGTACTAAATTTGAAAAGAATTGGCTTATGATTAGATAAAGTACAAAAGGAATCGTCAACTCTCCAATTCTTAATCTTATGCAATAGTGATGTTGTACAGGCGGTAATGTCTATAATGCTGGAGCAGATGGTGTCTCTTCTGTATGCACTAAAAGTAGGCTTTTTTCCCGTATTAACTACCTCCAAGTTAAGTTCAGCTAATGTTTCCATAACCTGTGTTCCTCTGTTGTCATCTGCTTTGCAGCCCCACCAGATGCTACTGGCATTTGCATCGCCACCGATGATAATATCTTCTGTCTGCATTGCTTTCACAAAATTCTTAATCGTTATTAAGTCTTCTTCAATTACGCCTTTTTCATGCAAGTAGATGCTGATGAAGCCAATGTTAAGATTACCTATTTTTAGTACTATACCTACGATGTCTTTGGTTAGTATGTTTGGGTTAATGGTGAAGTTAATGTTAGGGTCTAAGACAACTATTGCAGATCTCACTGGCTTATTGATGTCATTACTAACTTTTTGGATTACACGGTATTGCGGGCCCACAGTTAAGTGTGCCTTTGCCCCAACATAAGGTTCCTGCATCAATATGATGGAAAAGCCTTGTGTGGTTGCAGCCCGTAAGCACTCAAGTGTTGCCGCGCGGCCTCGATCAAGGTTGTATTGTGCCACTTTAACAATTTTTTTGCTATCGAGATTACCTGGTGTTCCTGTTTCATTAGTTTGGTAAACCAAGTCTTAACAGTATGACACAGAGCTCCTTGATATATTGTCCCATTTTTGCCACTCTGGACACTCGGGGCTATATGCGGGATGGGTAGCATTTTCTTTACCCGATCTGTTGCAATTATTGCAGGATGGAGCCACGTTTCTGTTCGAGCATGTCCTTGTATCATGGCTTCCAGAGCAGTACCCGCAGATTAGGTCATTTGTGCAATCTTTCGCTCTATGATTGAATTTCAGGCACTTGTAGCACTGTATAAGAGGAGACTGATCAAAGCAGGGGATTACCTGAAAACCTATACGCAATTTCTGGTCCTTTAGTCGAATCCACATTTGCGGCGTGACTTCCAGAATAACATTGATTAGGTCTCGTGTCCTGCCTTTAGTTCTGCTAAGAACTTTAGCGAATTTTTGTTCATCGTCTAAGTCTGTAATTAATTTTGAGTTTTGACTAAGAATTGCTTTTACTAGCTTATCGTCATTAAGCTCATTAGTGATACCTATTAGGCGTAACTGAGGATGTTTTACAGAAGTGGTTGAAACAGTCAGACTGTTGCATGTATCTCTAATCGCTTTTTTTAAGGTTTGCCTATCTAGTTGTGAATCACAGCTGATAATAACTCTTTGATTCCTTATTTTAGTTATTCTGTTCACGCCAACACCAAGTTTAACTGGGTCAACCTCTTTTTTAACCTGTTTCAGGATCTCGTCGCTCGTGGATCGCGGGTCTATAGATTCCAGGACCATTGCGTATCGAGGTGTTACCGTAGCTTCAGCGTATGTAAGTTTATGCGGTGAAGATGACTTTGTAACTGATGGTTGTGGCGCTGTTTTGTTGTCATGGTCTTCCTTTTTGTTGTAGTCTGTATTCTGTCTATTACTGAAGACTTTTCTTAACTCTTCTATTTTATCCTTAATATCCGTTACGGCCAGCTCGGTACCTAGCCCTGAATTTCCTTGAAATGCCGCATGTGCAGTGGTGCAATCCTTTAGCTCATTTATCTCTGTTAGTAAGGTTTTAACCATATGAGCTATCGGATGCAACGCCGCTTCTAGCTCTTTTCTTTGGTCTATTCCTGTTGGTGGGATGTTTTGAAGGGTCTGTATCATATCTTTGGTTTCAAGAATATGGTTTATTATTTCTCCAAAACGACAATCATCTGGGGCTCTTATTTCTGTTTGGACCGGCAGTTGTGGCGGTTCTTCAGCTTGAAGCTTAGAAAGCTCGTTGATTGACATGGTCAAACCTACAAACTGGTTAGTCATATCGGCTATCTTTCCGTTGAGGTGCGTAAGATACTCAGTGCAGGTCTTCGTGCACGCAATCGAGCTAGTCCCAGCTAGCGGTGGTTGTGCTTTGGTTGCTAAGCCTCGCACTTCTGCTTGAATTTTGTTAATGGTTTTAAGAGGTTCATCCATTTCGTAATTCAGCCAGCTGCGGATTGCCTCAACACCACTAACCGAACTTTTCACTGCTTCGAATATCTCTTTAATCTTATTGTGATGCAGTGTTTGAATCTCTGCCAGTTGCTTATTGTGCGCTCTTTCTATTCTAACTAATTTCTTAGCTGCTCGATATTTTTCTTGTTCTAGGGCTAGCCGGTGTCACGAGCGGGAGTCGGAAAGTGACAGCACCGTTTCATATAAGCCTTGAAGAGAGTCGTGCACCTCACTTTTGCACTCTCTCTTCATGTTGCCCGCTTTTTCTAGGGCTTCCTTGCCAGATTGCAGGAAGTCATTGGCGCGTTGGGTAGCTAGGTCCATAGATATTTCCGCTCGTTTATAGGTGGGAGGCAGTATACTCGACCTTCTGCTGTTAGTACTATAGATGCTGTCTCCTTCGGACCAGTCGTCGTCGGTTTCCCGTACCGGCTTGCATTGCCCTAATAAGGCTAGCTCTTTTTCCAAGTCCATTGTAACCGAGCTAGCTTCTGTCACTTCTTCACTCGTTACTGGTTCGGGCTGCTTAGCCTGATCGCCCTCTTCCCCGGTACCCTTGCTTGATTGGGCAGAACTGGCTGTATCAGTGCACGGCTCGGTGACAATATAGTTCTTGCTAGCGAATGCTTCATCTGCAGTTTTTCCAGACGTAGCTGCATTCTGTAATAAGACCTTCTTACGCAGACCACTGGGAGTTGGACTCGCAGCTCTGCTTGTCTTAGAAGACCTTGTTTTAGCTGTGCCAGCGCCAGAGATGGTGGATTTGGTTGACATTTTGGCAGTTTTTTTTTTTGTCGGAGGTCGGGTAAATTGAGTAATCTATAGGTCTGTTAGATACCTTGCCTGATGCCCAGTTATTTGAGCCCAAGCACGGGTGGTCTAGATTTTGTATGTTCTGAGCAATTTACGGTTGAAATTTTCCAATATGGCCTATTCAATAACTCTTTTCGTTGCCAAAGCGGTACCTATTAAACAGTTAACTCGAGACTAGAATCAAACTGTGGTGAATAATATAGAGAGCGTATTTTTTGGACTAGTGGGCCTCCTAAATATTTTCGTCCGCTGACCAAACTATCGCTTCACCCAAACCTTCCTGATTGAATTAAGTCCAAACACGACCACTTTTGGCCGGTAACTTCGCGAGAAATTCAAAAAATAAAATTTCCAATATGGCCGACTTGATTATTATTTCCGTTGCCAAGACTGTGTTTATTTATCGAAACGGCTCGAGTTTGGGCTCAATCTGTAGGGAATAATATACAGAATGTGTTTATGGGCTAATGGCCACCTAAATTTTTTTCCTCACACTGACTATACAATCGCCTTTCTTAGGCTCTCCTGATCAATTTAAGTCCAAACACGGCCACTTTTGGCCAGTAACTTCGCAAGAAATTCGAAAAATAAAATTTCCAATATGGCCGACTTGATTATTATTTCCGTTGCCAAGGAGGTGTTTATTAATCGAAACGGCTCGAGTTTGGGCTCAATCTGTAGGGAATAATATAGAGAATGTGTTTATGGGCTAATGGCCACCTAAATTTTTTGCCTCACGCTGACTATATAACCGCTTTATTTAAGCTCTCCTGATAAATTTAAGTCCACACACGACCAATTTCGGCCAATAACTTCACGAGGAATTCAAAAAAATGAACTTTCCAATATGGCGGCCAGTTAGTTTAAATTTATCTAACTTTGGAATTATAACAGATAATATAGTCGAGTTTGGGCTCTACGGATAGCTCACAATGAGCGGATTATGAAGATTTGATGATATTTGGAGAATTATTATTTATTTGTAATTAATAACGAAAAAACAAAAAAGAAACACAAAAAATTGCGTAATTATGAAACTAGATAAGCAAATGAAACTCTAAAAACGGAAATCTATATTAAAATTATGTATCTAATTTAAGGTAAATGCAGAAGTAGCCGCAGAGGTCTGGAAGTAGGTCCTCGTGGAAGGACTTTTTCGTTAAAAAAATCCATAAAATTTAAACGCTACAGTAGAAAAATCTCATTTTCGGCGAAGACTTTCCTGGCTAAAACGCCCACAATAAAATGAAATAAAAAGTATAGGTCGTCGCTGAAAATCACGAAATATTCGATCTAGAATTTTTTCATTGTAAACAAAAACTGTTTAAACGTTAATAACTTCGTGGTTTCAACTCCGATTTTCATGAAAAAAGTTTAGGTGTGTTGCGCAAGACGTGCCCTATCCAAAAGCGTGCCACAAAATAAGCACAAGCGTATAGAAAAAATTTTTACGCCACGTGGTTTTTTAGGAAAAGTGTAATAATTCAATGGTTCTTGTGCGCAAAAATCTGAAATAAACGGGGATATATAGACCCTAATAAGACCTACAAGATGACATAAAAAACCATATTGGTTACTGATCTTAATAAGGCAGCGTAAGCAAAAGTATTATAAAAATATTACCTTTTGCAATTTTTAGGTTATCCCTGAGAGAAAACTTCAGCAAAAACGACCCAAATCTTCAAAAACCACTGAACCAACACTACCACAGGATAGCACAGCACAAAACACACATTCACAGAAAATTTCAAGAAAATCGGGGAACTTTGACTATTTTTAAGGATTTTAAAGCACAGGAGCGGTTCGAAAACGTGGCGTACGCGTCGGCGGGCGGGACGGAACTGGGGTTAGGTTAGGTTAGGTTAGGTTAGGTTAGGTTAGGTTAGGTTAGGTTAGGTTAGGTTTTTTTTTTTTTTTTTTTTTCGCTTTTCCCCGATCATGAGAACACCGGGACCTTATTAAACTATATTACTCATACATTCCAGTTCTCGCATTTATTCACACTTTCAAGCTGCATACTTGGTCTTTCTTTTATTCATCCACATTCATTCTTTGCCGGGTGGGACTCCCGCTACTCTATGCCTAATTTTTATACTTTTATTTCGTTTGGGAAAATAAAGTTTCTTACATTTTATTTATTTTCTGATATATCTTCAATGATATATACACCTTATATATACTGTTTAAACTTACAAATTTCCACACTACACCTTATATACTTATTTTTATTTAAATTACAAATTTCCTTAATTACCTATTTATTGGCTTACAACTATTGTACTTATCATTTTATTTCTTAATTCCTATAGCTTTTTCTTAATTCTATTTC